GTTGACCTTGGAAAAAACTACTAACAGACTCTTCTCCCCCCGTTTATACCTCGACCCCAGCCTCATGGATACATTCTTTCGGTCTCTGAATGGAAAAATGACTCTGCGATAGAGAAGCGGATTGACACCCAGCAAATATTCAAAAGGCCTCAATTTCTGAGAGTGAGAGAGAGAGAGAGAGAGAGAGAGAAATCGCTTGGCTAGTGGGAGGGCTGCAGAGCGGTGTGGACGAACACGGCGACACTCCAGTTCTATCACAGGTTGATCACAGGAAGTGAAGGATTGTTCCACAGAAAAGACTCTAAAAATAGAATCCGCCCCATCAATCGCTTCAGAAAAATCACATAATCACAAAGGCAATTTAAAAACTTCACTACCACCTCCTAAGACAAGATTTAACGAAGGGAAGGCAGAGATAATTTTTTGCTTTTTTCCAAACAGGCTGAGAAGGATTCTAAAAAAAGAACTGGTATTAATATTGTAATTAGGGGAGAAATACTGGAGACACGCGCTCGAAAATCAGGGGCAAAACAAAGATAGCTGATGTAGCACCGGGAACAGGACTTCAGAACGGGGTGGGGGGGGGACACAGAGAGATCGGGGGGCCGCACAGCAGAAATGAGTCAGCGCACTGGTTTGCAGCTCACGCCAGGACTGCGCAGCAACAAAAGCAAACGGGCCAACCCAGGTCGGTGACGAAGCGTTTGAAGTAACCGAGGAGCTGAGCTGCGTTTCTACCGCCGGAAAGCAGTTCGGAAAAAACGCAAGCGAAAGAACTGCCCATCACGGCTGCCAAAACCATCAACTCCGCCGCTAAAAACACACCATGACGTGCGCGGGCTTTCCGAGCGCAGGGTGTCCGAAACCGGTCCGAGGTGAACGGGGAGATAGGAAAATCCTCTCCTTGGTGGGGAGTTCGGTGTCGCCTCTGAACAGTTCACGGCCAAAGAGCAGGAAGTAACCACGCGCGTTCGTGTCGTCGCGAGACGGCACTGCTGGGAAGGGGCTTCATCTCCGGGAGCCCCGTGGGGCCGGGCGGTGAGGGTCCCACAGCCCGTCCGGCCGACACCCTTGTCCGCGCAGGGATTCCAGAGCCTGGGGTCCCTTGCACGCTCCCTGGCCACCCACCGCCCACCTGACACATTCAGAGCGTCCAACCACAGTCCGGGCACACGAACGACGACAGGCAACCGGTCTCACACGATATTAAAATGCGCTTGAGGAAAGCAAGACCCGGGACGGCAGGACACGACCACAGGAATGGAAACGTGGGTTGAGTGGAGGCACACGATCAGGCCCAGCAATTCTGAGACCTACAGGAAGACAGGGACGCCCTAACACACGGCAGGGTACCCCCTGAAAAACCCGAAGACGCTAATACATCTGACGCACTGAGTACCGTCTGAAACACACACACGGAATCGGTCTTACGTCCGCCTGGGCATACAGCAGGAGCCTAATGAGAAAACAGTCACCTCTGCTCTGTGCCAGGCCCCGAGCTAAGCACCTGAGAGACCTTATTTCATTCGATCCCCGTAAGGGACTCTAAGGTGAATGTTGGAGAAACTGAGGCCTGCCGGGGGGCAGCGACTGGCTCGGGGTCCTTCAGCCAGGTCTATGTGTCCCTCCCATGTGTGTCTTGCTCCCTCCCCCCCCCCGCCTCCCCATGTGCCTTGCTCAGCGT